AATGTTTGTATTTATAGGAATGTATGGAAGCGAATATTAGCGAGAAGGTGGAGATATTTTCATTTTTGGATTCTAGTTCTGCAAAGGTTTTGTTTATGAGGAGAGGCGTTGGTAGAGTCCGACACTTAGTATTGTGGGCTTAGGATCTTTTTCAATAGCGATGCGTTTTTGTGGAACTAAAGCACTTAGTTAGCGAAGGATAAATCTTTTGTTTTTTATGTGTGGATATATGGATGGTGAAACTGAAGAACTAATTGGCGAAAACAACTAAGGAATTGAAAGCAACTGCAATAAAGAACATTCGAGACGCAATGAAAGTGTTTAAGCCGAATGAAACCTCTAGAGCTGAGAGTTAGAAGTGTGTTAAGGGAATTTTGTGAGTTATAGTTATGATGATATATGCGAGAAGTATAATAGGAGAAAATCAGGAGATGAAATTAACTAACGCCTTGGGTTAGGCTCGGGATTTCGTAGAGGAGTTTTTTGCAGATAATTTGGAGTATTTCTTGATGTTTTATGTGATATTGACGGTTTTTATGATTTGCAGATGGATATTTAATGGTGTATAAAAGATTTGCAGTGTGATTGGGATTCAGCACAATAGGTTAATACAGACTCTTGACTTTCTATGATTTCAAGTATTTACTAATATGTCCGTTCTTCGCTATACTTATAATTTTTGTCAAACCAAAACGCCTTAGCGAATGCATAGATTCACATATGTGTTTCCATATGTCCACAAACGTCTTAAATTAGGCTCTTGGCAAACATTTAGATTGCTCCTATTTATAACAAATATGTAAGGCATATTTATGCTTACCTCAAACTGCAAACCAATCTTATAGACAGGTAAAATTATTATCACCCCGCTTTAGATTTCTACTTTGAATAACAATCCACACAAACAAAAGACTACTCCTGGTTTGCCACCTTAAGTGTTCTGCTAACATTATTGAATGACTCATATAACTCTCTCGAATTATTATCTCTAATCATAAATCCACGAAAAACCGGTCCACTCTTTTCGCACCATTTTCATTCCATATCTTCATATGAACTCGCTGCGGCTGCTGGCTAACGGTTCCTTGCTGCTCCAGCTGCAAAACAAGTTCTACACGTTGCTTGCTTTCTCTCCACTAGTTATTTCTCTATAAACATCTCAATTTGTCTGCCACGTACCCACTTGCAGTCAGGCATGTAGAAAAATGCACCATACCTTATTACTGCATATTTCTGCTCTCAGGCTTTGGATTTGGCTTGGTTGCCTAGGGCTCGCGCACATACATGTTGCGCCGCCTGCCAGATTCATCTTTGACTTCTGATCTCTCCTGGGCAACTGGGAGCTGCGCCAAACGATCTTGAATATACGTGGAAGCGGCACGTCCAATGGCCGTAGGTTTACACGCTTTGATGTCCATTAGACCCCTTAGCGAGCGGTGGACAAAGGCATCTGCCGTATCATTTGGATCCGCCTGCAGTTCAAGCAACAAGGCACAATCACCTGCAGAATTAACCAACCAAACTGCCTCAACGATCATGCGAGGAATATGCTCGACCGCAATGACCTTCATGAATTCCTTGGGATAATCCGTAGACCGCATATCAAAGCCGGGCCGCTGCACGTAGAGCTCGTCACTTTTAGCACAGGTAATAAGGAGCCGATGCGGGGCAGAATCCAAAACATGCACCAAGTGACTGTAGTGCTCGCTTGGACCAAAGGTCTGCGCATCGTCGATGACGGCAATTAGTCCAATGCCCGCCTCCAGCAAAGCCGTGCGGACGCCCGACTGTGCAACATAGCCCCAAGGGCAGACGGAATCGGAAACAACCGGTGCAACTCGGACGATACCAAGCGGGAATTCGCCGAGCCCGATAAGGGCAGGCGGGGGCATGGACACGCCTCCAATGCGCACGTGAAGCCCGGGTTTCGCATCCAGAACATGCCTCCACAGAATGGTAGCAGCTGTGCACGAATAGAAGCCCACAGAAAAGCTCCCCCTTATCCTGCATGTATAAATCCATGAAATTCGCACTAAAAGAGGCTTGATAATATAGGCAGATTACACGCTCAGGCTCGTAATAGACCATGTTGGAATGCTGTGCGAGGGATGAACCCGGTCCATCCTCCGAAAGGGTTGACGCAGCGCATTCATATAGCAATCAGTGGGTGCCGATTTCGGTTTTTAGTTATTTTAGAAAAACTTAATCACTCAGACCAAAGGAGGTCGAATGAACACTAATGTTAGAGGTGGAAGCTTGTATTAAATAGTTAACGGTACCACCGATAATTATTGTCGGATTGAATTCAAGATTGCTTCTTCTTGAAATATTTCTTGAATCGCTCAAAATTTCGCTGCTTAATAATAGATTTGCTACGGATATGGTGGTTGATCTAAATTCCTTTGTCTCGAAACGGCCATTCTTCGCGAATAAAACAATTACTTTCGCGAATCTTTCGCGGATTCATCGCCGTGCTCTTTTCATTTCTCGAGTCGGAGAATCGCAGCTTTTAAGTGCCAGCGTTGTAAGCGAAATGACGATTTCCCAACTCCAGCTGTAAAGTCGCAACTTTTCATCAAATGCGCCGGCTGGAAAGTCGCAGCTTTTCGTTCGCCGTGCAGCTCCAGCTTGAAGTCGCAGCTTTCCAGTACCAAGCTAGTATACTGACTGGATCGGGGCTCAGACTATACCTCCCCTTGCAATCGAAGCCTGCGCTTTCGTGCGGGCTTTCGCGGATCTTTCGCGGAACTTTCGCGAAAAATCACCCACGTTTCAGAGCGGAAAGCCACCGACTAACACCCACAGAAACACATACATAGGCTTGGAGCACTAACCAGCCAAGCAGGGTATCAAACTGTAGCCTCACCAGGCTTAATCAGCGCAACATCAACAAAATGTTTTAATCAGAATAGAAGGAAGGCTCAGCAGGAAAGTGAACGGTTCCATATATCATTGATTAACTAGATACAATTACGAAAAATTTTCGCGAGAAAAAAAATTGCTTTCGCGACTCCATCGCGAATCTTTCGCGGAACTACCTCAACCAACACCGATGGTCACCGAATACTAAACTCCTTACAAGGACCTTTAGAACGACTCCCATATAGACCATTAACGGGAACTATATAAATCGGAATCTTAAAAATTATACATGAACATTTCGTTATTCACGTGCCTGTAACGTTCGTAAGATCGTTTCGCATGATCTTTAGTTAAGCAGCTTGTATTGTGTTTATCTCTCCTTTTCGGAAATCCTGCTAGTTATTTATTTTGTTCCGTCCGGGTACGAAAATCATTATGATATTTGGGAGTGTTCGATCAAATACGAATCTAATCTTGATATAGAGATAATAACGGATACTATTCCATAATTGATTAATAGATATAAAAAGAAAAATATATATATATAAAACATCCAATAATAATATATAGGAAATCTGTCCTTATTATACCTCTCTGCTTTTTCATATATACATTTGACCTTAATTAAATTATCCTTTTAAATCGAGAAAATAAATAAATAAATTTATTAAATTATTTCGATTTAACTTATTAATTAAAATTAATTATATATAATTTTTAAAACACCCTAACAATTCAACATAATCAAAAATAATATATGCTTAAATCCTATTTACTTATCCAATAATCTATATCAAAAAAAATTAAAATCTTTATTTTTCCTTCTAAAATCCAATTTTCAAAACACATATATAAATTTATTTCAATATTTTAATATATATTTATTTATATATATATTTAATAATTAATATTATTTTTTAAATCAATAAATTAAAATATATAATTAAAATATCATAATATATATTTCAATAATAACACATCTATTGTATTTTTTATTTTCATTTTTTATTTATTTAAATTTTATTCCAATTTTTTCAATTAATTTCTATTTTCAATTATTTTTCTTCTTAATATTTCTATAATTATAATCAAATCTAATATACATATATATTATATTATATTATATTATATATTATATCAATAATTAATTTTTTCTTATATACATTTTCTAGGAATAAACCAAAAAACACCTATAGTGAATTATATTATTTCGACACATGTATTTTTTTAGTTTCAATTTGCTCAAATATGACATCGGATTGAAATTGAAGATATGGAATGTAAGTCCCGGCTTGCTTGTCTGGTTGCATATTTGAAGGCGAGGTAGAAGGAAAGCGTCCATCTCTCTCCAATACCACCGCCAAACACGGACTTGAAGCCGTCGCGAAAACAGCCGCCTAGTTTGATGCAACCAAATACAGGATCACAAGCTCCGTGCCTAAGAAGAGGATTGTGGGACGGCTCTGGCCGGGTCCCGGCAAAACTGAAGGCAGGGACAGGGAATCACGTATCAAATCGCGATTCCAATTGCAAAAGTTGCGCCTGTGGATTGTGGGGGACAGCTGTTCTCAGTGTCGCCCATGGCCTGTACTGAGGCTTTGAGCACTCAAAACCTAACTCAAAGTTTTAGATTCGGATTGTCCCGCACTGTGCAGGATACGGATCCCCCTGATTTTGCTAAGGCTTTGCATGGTCTGAGACTTAGCTAAATGGTAGCTAGCCCAGCCTAAACAGGGTACGGTAAGCGGAGACCGTCCAAGTGGGATCTAGCTTTCTTTTGCAGCCGGCTGGCAGAAGCCAAACGGCGAGCAGCCAGCTGGCTGTGCGGGAAACTCGGCTGTATCGGAGGAGATCCGGTCAAGAGTTTTAGGGTGTGGGGCCCCCTCCGGGGTCCGTGGGGAAATGATCCAACGGAAAGCTGCGCCTAGCTTTGTCAACGCTAAACGAACATTTGTGGAAGTCTCTGGTGCGAAGCCTGTGTATCTTCTTTGGGGGGAGGCTGAATGTTCCAGTGCCGAACTTCCAGGTTCTTTTGATCAAGACCCCAGGCCACCGGCGAAAATCAAAATCCGCCGCATGCGCGGAACCTGGATGCGGACATCGACCCGGATGCGGACAAATTGAAGCGGCGAAGTGATCTACGGGATGCACTTGGGGTTCCCGAAGGAGGCGCCGCGGCGCCAGGTGAGGTTCCCTTTGCGGACCGCCTTCATCTCCTGGGTGGGCGGCGTGATGTCCATCAGCTCGATGTCGAGGTTGAAGTCCATCACCTCCGAGAAAATGATGGCTCCCATTTTCCGAACAAGAGACAAATCAACCATGATTGGGTTGTTTTACAGGGAGAACACAAGGGACAAATCAACCTACGGATTTTTGAGTTGGCACACAGGATTGGGTTGGTTTACAGGGAGATCGAAAGAAACACCAGTCAGCGGGTCAACGCCTGGCTCCCATAGTCGTCTGGTTAGAACAGCCAATTGCCGGCGCCGGTCATTGCTATTGCGAGCGGACCAACATCCAACAACCAAAACCTGCCAGTCCCATCACCGAATCCCCCCTTTGGCCTTGAACGTCGAGGCCCCAAAGACCGGGCTGCAGATCTCCAAGCTCTTTCGGATGTCCTGGGAGTGACAGATTTTGCCTCTAAGCCCCCAAAGGGGCGGCCAGTCACAAGGATCACCTTTTGTTTTCTGAGTTGGAACGTGTTGGAGGTACGGACCATTGGTCCCTGGCAACCTTTCTGGCTATGGACACTTGGAGTCGATCTCAGAGCCAACATCCTTGGTGAAGCAAAACATCCACCCGTGTCCGTACACTCCGAAATGACCACTTCTGTGATCCAACAAAAAGGCCTTCCCAAAGACTAGCTTCCCCAAAAAAGGGGGGGATTCGTGGGGATAAACCCCCGAGTGATTCCGCAACCCTGCTCCCCGTGTCCCCACCCGAAACCTCACGGGAAGCCTCCCGCGCCCTTCGGCGTCCTTGGCCCGCACCTGCCCCAGGCGCGGCGTCCGCATGAGCCGATACGCGGTGCGGAAGGTCTCGAACTGCCGCAGGTCGTGGGAGAAGTCTGGCAACGCCTTGATCCGAGCGCGATGCGACTCGCCTCCGGCGCTTCGGGGCCGCTTGCGGGACGTGTACTGAAACACAGAATGACAGAAGATGGGTGCCTCAGCTCAAAATAGGAGTTGTTGACCCATGGGGCATGGACGACGGCTGATTTGTTGGCAACCCTCCAACTAGTATCAAACGCCCCCCATTTCAATGTGTCCAAGTGAGCGAAATGTTCATCCCCTGAGTTGGCTTCTCAAAGTAGCCCCATAAACAGGTTGGTCTCCTTTTTGGCTTCCCTTGAAATTCCCCGGGGAGACTCCTCATTTGATTTGGGAAACCCCTCCGTTGATTTTCCAACCGCCGAGGTGCAATCTCCTCAAAGAGCTCCGCCAGCAGATTGGGGCACTCCCGGGCCAGCATGTGCCCATAGTGGCCCAGCTCCTCGTTGAGGCCCAGGACTTTAGAGAGAACGAACTACATGATCACCAAGCCTTCCAATTAGGCTCTTGTATGGGGACGGAAGGACTGGAAGGGCGAGCCAAAAGCGAGAGACCAAGGGTTCAAGGGAGGGCGAACTTCTGGTGTGAAGCGCGAGTACATAAGCTTAAAGGACCCCCCCAAAAAATGCCCGCGAGCCAAGGCCTTTTGGATTTCCTGGCCAAAACTGGCCAAAACAAGAAGGCCCAGTCGCCCGGGCGAAGTTCCATCTGTCATCCCTGAAGGGTCTCGAAACCTCGGCACTTAGAGAACAGCCCCGCGCCTAAGGAGGATACCGACGCTAATCCGGTGGATTTGCAATTGTTACCACAGATTGGATTGGTGGTTCATCAACTCACCTTCGTGGTTTCCTCCATCCCATCTGGCGACTCGACTGGCGTGGATTTGGTCCATCCCCACAACTTGGGGGATTTCTCAAAAATAGGGAAGCACCTAAAAACGCCCGGAACTCAGCGAACTGCGAAAGGCCTCGCTCTCGGTTCTTTTGCCCCCGGTGCGCCCGCGGCATGACCCAAAGCCACAAAGTTGGCCCCAGGCGGGGCGCATCTCGTCAGGATGTTCAATGGCGAAGACCTCCGTGGGCGCCCAGCGGCGCACTGAAGACACTGAGCTGGGCAGGGGCAAGTTCTGACCATTGGTGCCAAGTCAGTCGCAGTTCTGGCGCTCGCCCTTGGGGTTGCCCGCGCGGCGTTATTGTTTTTTCGATGGTTGAGTTTGTTGAGTGGCAACCGGCCTCCTTACGCCCTTTTTGCTCTTGCAGGCTGAGCAGTAGCTCCGGCTCTTCCTGCCAGCGTGGCTGCATCTTGGCCCGCGTGTCGTCCTGGCTGAGCCCGCATCCTTGAGCGGTGAGTAGAGTTGCCCGTGCCCGCCGACGCACCTTCCACGTTTTTGCCCAGGCTGACCGACCGCTCGCGCCGTCTCCGTGATCTCCTTTGTCCTGCTGGACCGGGCAACATGTGCAGATGCTTTCCTCTTCCGAACTCTTGCATACTCGTGCGCCTGCGGCATTTGCAGGAGTTAGACTTTAGCCCAAGTATCTCAAAACATGGGGATTCCCCCTAAAACCGGCGGTTTCCCCTTAAACCCCCGCAACCCCCCCCCCAAAAAAAAAAACAACAACAACAAAAAACACAAAAAAAAACAACGCATTTGCCGCCCTCCCCCCCCCCCCCAAACGCACCATGCGAGCGGAGGTGAGGGCTGCGAGCGGCGAGTCTCCTTGTGCTCCAAGCGGCTGCCCGCAACAGACTTCCAGGTGGCGATGGCTTGCGGGGTGGTCACCACGTCTTCCCCGCCCCGCAGGGTGATGATGGGCGACCTATGCCAAACTGGGGGAAAACCGGTGCTTCGAGCCGAGTTTGTGCCGATTTTGTCATGAGTTCTTTTGGTCACGTGCCAAACCCGCCCCAAAAAACCGTTGCTTCGAGCCGAGTCTGTGCCGATTTTGTCACGAGTTCTCTTGGTCACGTGCCAAACCCGCAACAAAAAACCGGTGCTTTGTGCCGATTTTGTCATGAGTTCTCTTGGTCACGTGCCAAACCCGCCCCAAAAACCGGTGCTTCGAGTCGTCGAGCCGAGTTTGTGCCGATTTTGTCACGAGTTCTCTTGGTCACGTGCCAAACCCACCCCAACAAACCGGTGCTTCGAGCCGAGTTTGTGCCGATTTTGTCATGAGTTCTTTTGGTCACGTGCCAAACCCGCCCCGCTTCGAGCCGAGTTTGTGCCGATTTTGTCACGAGTTCTCTTGGTCACGTGCCAAACCCGCACCAAAAAACCGGTGCTTCGAGCTGAGTTTGTGCCAATTTTGTCACGAGTTCTCTTGGTCACGTGCCAAACCCGCCCCAAAAACCGGTGCTTCGAGTCGTCGAGCCGAGTTTGTGCCGATTTTGTCACGAGTTCTCTTGGTCACGTGCCAAACCCGCCCCAACAAACCGGTGCTTCGAGCCGAGTTTGTGCCGATTTTGCCACGAGTTCTCTTGGTCACGTGCCAAACCCGCACAAACAAAAACCGGTGCTTCGAGCCGAGTTTGTGCCGATTTTGTCACGAGTTCTCTTGGTCACGTGCCAAACCCGCCCCAAAAAAACCGGTGCTTCGAGCCGAGTTTGTGCCGATTTTGTTACGAGTTCTCTTGGTCACGTGCCAAAGTCGCCCCAAAAAAATGGTGCTTCGAGCCGAGTTTGTGCCGATTTTGTTACGAGTTCTCTTGGTCACGAGCCAAACCCGCACCAAAAAACCGGTGCTTCGAGCTGAGTTTGTGCCGATTTTGTCATGAGTTCTCTTGGTCACGTGCCAAACCCGCCCCAAAAAACCGGTGCTTCGAGCCGAGTTTGTGCCCATGTTGTCATGAGTTCTCTTGGTCACGTGCCAAACCCCGGCACCAAAAAACCGGTGCTTCGAGCCGAGTTTGTGCCGATTTTGTCACGAGTTCTCTTCGTCACGTGCCAAACCCGCACCAAAAAACCGGTGCTTCGAGCCGAGTTTGTGCCGATTTTGTCATGTTCTCTTGGTCACGTGCCAAACCCGCACCAAAAAACCGGTGCTTCGAGCCGAGTTTGTGCCGATTTTGTCATGAGTTCTCTTGGTCACGTGCCAAGCCCGCCCCAAAAAACCGGTGCTTCGAGCCGAGTTTGTGCCGATTTTGTCATGAGTTCTCTTGGTCACGTGCCAAACCCGCACCAAAAAACCGGTGCTTCGAGCCGAGTTTGTGCCGATTTTGTCATGAGTTCTCTTGGTCACGTGCCAAACCCGCACCAAAAAACCGGTGCTTCGAGTCGTCGAGCCGAGTTTGTGCCGATTTTGTCATGAGTTCTCCTGGTCACAAATCAGCAGGCCCAGAGGGTGAGGGAAGAGAACACTGAAAACCATCAGCGGGGCTTCGATTGAAGCCAGAGCCGCACACCAGCAAAACAAATGGGGTCTAGGGGACCCGCGCGCTGCTTTTGCGTTTCATCGAAGGAAAATCCAAATGCAGGTTGGACTCTCAGTTTCAAGGAAGTATTTTGCAGTTGGGGCATTTGCCCGACTGGCAGTGCTTTCGCTTGGCCCCAGTTGGGGCAGGTGAAACCTCTTTGTCCCGGGTTTCTAGGTCAGACCTGCCCTGTTGAATCATCAACTCGCTTTCCCTCTTCAGCGATGAATATGATCAAATCGGGCCTCCCCGGGCTTTGAAGACTGCCATCCTGAGAAAACCCTCTGCTTCCACAGCCTTGGCAGGGTGTTACGAAAATGAGCTTGGCCGGTGCTTCAAGGCCAAAGAATTCCCCGGAACCTCCCAAGGGGCACCGGTGGTTGCGGCGGTGGTGGCAATATTCGGGTACGGCTCAAAAGTAACCCAGCATGTGGACCGCAGGTTTCAGTCCTTGGTTCCATCGACTGGAGCAATCCGTTTTTGGGTTACCCCATTTGGCTGTGGTTCAAGATTAAAGAGCTAGGCTTACGCAGCTTTTAGTCTACCTTTCCATTTACCAAACCATTTTTCGAGCCGCAGCCATTTCTCTCTCACCGCAGCCCTTCCTCTCCCTGGCCACATGCCCCATGCCCCGCCTGAGCCGCTCGGCCTTTGGCAGGCGGTAGCTCTCGTAGGCCATGCAATCCGCCCGCAGCGGCCCCACGATGCTGTCCCCAAGCTCCGGAAGCAACGCCTCACGGGGCCGCGGTGAAAGGATCCCGGAAGGCTGGGATTACCCTCAGTGGAACTCATCGAAGGACCGAAAAAATACAAACAATAAGACATCAATGAAAAACAACAACAGCATCTCTGAGACTACCCGTGGAATTGATTTGGATCCAGGAAAGGGGTGTGGCTCTACATTCAACTGCTAGTACGCAGGTTTTAGTCTTTGGGTCCATTTACCAAGGTGCAATTTTGGGTACATTTATTTGAGCCACAGCCAAATGCTTGGGCTTTACGCTCATGTTCCCACAGCGTTCTACTGCGGCTCCTGTACTGCCGTAGCAATGACTCGGGCAGCGAATTTGTCAGGGGTCAAGGCATATCGTTTTCGACCAGTTGGCACACTCGTTTTTGCTTGTGGGCCCTCAAAAAACTGGTCGGTTGGAAGAAATAACGCCTTCCCCCCGCCATTCCTCCTTGCTTAATCCATCGTTTCTACAATAAGGGCCAACGCAATTAGAGTGGGCTTGTGAGGTACTTGAACCCCTCTCACTGTTGAGATTATAGGAGAGCGCTCGTTTATTTAGCCCCCCTTATCCTACCCTTGCTTGAAACGCAACGTATCCATGGCATTGTGAATCCTGGGGTTTGCCCAGAAAACAACAAAACAACACAGAGGAAACCAACACAAACACACACACACAAACACAAACCCACAAAAACAACAAAATAGAGGAAAACAGCACCATGCAACAAAAACAACAACAGCAACACAACACAAATAAAACCCGCGCAAACACACAAACCACTTTAACCAATGGGTTCTCCGTTTGTGAATTCTTGGGGTTAGTCGTTTCTCAACTTCGGCTGTCCGCCTCCAGCTCCTTCCGCGCATTCCCCGCGGAGGCCAGGAGGAACCTGACACTCGACTCGTCGGCATCGGGGCGCGGTGCCTGGGGTGCGGGAGTCCCAGGGAAGGCAGGAAGCCACTCATGTTTTTGGGGGGTGGGGGGAAGGGGGGGTTGAAGGTAAGGGGAAACCGCATATTTAGACTTTGTAATTTTGCTTGTTGGGGGGAGGAGCATCATGGTGTTGTTTTGCTTTGCTTCCCAAGCATTCTTTGGGGAGCGTTTGCATTGGTCAAACGCCCTTGACTGACCATCGCCAACCCAAGCAGGTTTTCTTTCAGAAGCTGGCAACCTGACCACAACCACGCAGCAGTGCTAGGATCCTCACCCGAAGCATCAAAACAGTCGTGGCAACCAAACCCCCCCCATGTTCCTCCATTTTCCACATCCACGTGGCAAACCAACGACCATGACAAAAAACCAAACCGCCAGCTTCCCTGACGTGTCAACACCCATCCTCCATTTGCTTAATTGCCCTGGACAAAAATGGAAAAAACAATTCCAGTAGTGAAATCGATTCCAACTTTAAATCCAACAGAGGAAAAAAACCAATATTCTTAACCAACTGGAAACCATTTGGTCGCTTTCCGAGGGGCTCCGTCCAGTCCTCCTTCCCCATCTCCGCGCAGGACGCGAAGTTCTTCCCCAGGTGCTGCATGGCGGACTCCCCCATGCCCCGCTCCTCGCGGAGCAAAACAGAACTCAGAGACGAAGTCTCACTCGTTCTGGCCTTCTCCGGCGAGATGATGAGTTTTGGGTTTTAACGTTGCCTTTGGAAAGAAGAACGCGTGAACATATATATATATATAATGTGGAAATATATCTTATACGTGGGTTGTGGCCTTTTGGGCGTTTGCCCTTCTTTCGAAAGGGAAGGAGCCAGCGTGAAGTGCTGCAGTTCCCTTTCATGGGACCGCAATTTTTGTTGGGGGTGTTTGTATCGCTTTCTTTTCGAAAGGAAAACGGCTCAAAAGTAGGATGCGTTTGGCAAGTGGCTCCTTTTCGAGGGTGGTTGAACATGCTTTTCATTCAAGGGATACTCCATAAAGGGTTTGAAAGATACAGCGATTTCAATTGATCCACCAATGTTGGATCATTTTGGTAAGCTCATTTCGGCATTTCAAAGCGCGGAACTCCCAGTTTTTCTGGATGTCAAAGATCGACTCCATATGTTTCCACTTCCCTCCAATTTGTACGGGTTTAAAGCTTGGTTGCTGATGACCTCTCTGCAAACAGCTTTACACTTTTTGTGTCCCCACGGAAAATCCACAGAGTTTATCTCTCAAGGTTAAAGCCCCTTTGGACCCGTTACCAAACTGGGGCTGCCCGCAGATCCCCTGCTAAAAGTTTAACTTTTTAGCGGGTTGTATAGAAATGACCAATAAAGCAACCAAAAGGCCAAAAAGCTAAGTTGAACCAGACTGGGACTTCGCCACCAAGCAAGCCACTTGCTGCTTGAATGAAAATGGGTAGCATTCGCGGCTTTCCCCCTTGCCAAGTTGGACGGACCCGAATAATTCTTTGTGGTTTCCTTTTAGGCACCCCTAGCATCCCCCATGGTTTTAGGGAAGGCACCCCCATCCCCCATGGTTTCCTTTAAGGGGACCGATTGGTCCCGAAGGAAACGAAACCGGACTCGGAGCCGTCTGCCGTCTCCTTGGAGGCCTCCTCAGGGCCCGCGTTGCCACTGGCGAAGAGGCCCAGCAGATTCGTGGTGGGGTCCTGCGCTTTGGCTTTTTGGACCAGTCGGTTTGTCAATGGAGTCGGTGTATTTGGAGCTATTGGTTTGCGGTTTGGCTTTGGACAAGTCGGTTTGGGAGTTGGTCAGTTGGTGTATTTGGAGCTATTGGTTTGCGGTTTGGCTTTGGACAAGTCGGTTTGTCAATGGAGTCGGTGTATTTGGAGCAATTGGTTTGCGGCTTGGCTTTCGGCAAGTCGGTTTGGGAGTTGGTCAGTCGGTGTATTTGGAGCTATTGGTTTGCGGTTTGGCTTTCGACAAGTCGGTTTGGGAGTTGGTCAGTCGGTGTATTTGGAGCTATTGGTTTGCGGTTTGGCTTTGGACAAGTCGGTTTGTCAATGGAGTCGGTGTATTTGGAGCTATTGGTTTGCGGTTTGGCTTTGGACAAGCCGGTTTGTCAATGGAGTCGGTGCATTTGGAGCTATTGGTTTGCGCTTTGGCTTTTTGAACCAGTCGGTTTGTCAATGGAGTCGGTGCATTTGGAGCTATTGGTTTGCGGTTTGGCTTTGGACAGGTCGGTTTGGTAGTTGGTCAGTTGGTGTATTTGGAGCTATTGGTTTGCGGTTTGGCTTTGGACAAGTCGGTTTGTCAATGGAGTCGGTGTATTTGGAGCTATTGGTTTGCGGCTTGGCTTTGGACAAGTCGGTTTGTCAATGGAGTCGGTGTATTTGGAGCTATTGGTTTGCGGTTTGGCTTTGGACAAGTCGGTTTGGGAGTTGGTCAGTTGGTGTATTTCGAGCTATTGGTTTGCGGTTTGGCTTTGGACAAGTCGGTTTGCTGCAAAGCTTTCAATCTGATAGCTTTTTAGTACCTTAACAGGGAAAGTCCACCAGCGCAGCCCTTTCAAAATGATGGTGGAACTTGTAGAAAGACAAGTCTTGTGACTCTGTGGGGCCTTAGAATGAGTTCCCAATGAAGCTTCACAACTTTTTGAAGTCTGTCGTGCGTTTTTGGCGACAGTTTCACACATTTGCTAGTTCCTCCGTTGGCGGAACTAGCAAGCCTGGTTAGGGGTTGCATCCTGCCATCTTTGCAAGGAAGTCAACCCCCAACCAGGCTTGCTAGTTCCGCGTTTCGGGAACTAGCAAGTCTCTGAGACTGTCGCGCGAACGGAAAGCCCACCCAACCTGCAAAAGCTTTCAATCTGATAGCGTTACAAGTAGAACCTTAAAAGGGAAAGTCTACCAGCGCAGCCCTTTCAAAATGATGGTGGAACTTGTAGAAAGACAAGTCTTGTGACTTTGTGGGGCCTTAGAACGAATTCCCAATGAAGCTTCACAACTTTTTGAAGTCTATCGTGCGTTTTTTGGCGACAGTTTCACACATTTGCTAGTTCCTCCGTTGGCGGAACTAGCAAGCCTGGTTAGGGGTTGCATCCTGCCATTGGAGTCGGTGTATTTGGAGCTATTGGTTTGCGGTTTGGCTTTGGACAAGTCGGCTTGGCAGTTGGTCATTCGGTGTCTGTGGAGCTATTGGTTTGCGGTTTGGCTTTGGACAAGTCGGTTTGTCAATGGAGTCGGTGTATTTGGCTTTGGACAAGTCGGTTTGTCAATGGAGTCGGTGTATTTGGAGCTATTGGTTTGCGCTTTGGCTTTGGACAAGTCGGTTTGTCAATGGAGTCGGCGTATTTGGAGCTATTGGTTTGCGCTTTGGCCTTTTGGACCAGTCGGTTTGTCAATGGAGTCGGTGCATTTGGAGCTATTGGTTTGCGGTTTGGCTTTGGACAAGGCGGTTTGTCAATGGAGTCGGTGTATTTGGAGCTATTGGTTTGCGGTTTGGCTTTGGACAAGTCGGTTTGTCAATGGAGTCGGTGTATTTGGAGCTATTGGTTTGCGGTTTGGCTTTGGACAAGTCGGTTTGTCAAATGGAGCCGGTGTATTTGGAGCTATTGGTTTGCGGTTTGGCTTTGGACAAGTCGGTTTGTCAAATGGAGTCGGTGTATTTGGAGCTATTGGTTTGCGGTTTGGCTTTGGACAAGTCGGTTTGGGAGTTGGTCAGTTGGTGTATTTGGAGCCTAGCAGCCCTCCGCCCCGTAACGCCCACGTGGCCTTGAAAACGCATGCCGAAACCCCCAAAACGCTGTCAAACCCAAGCAACGCCAGGTCCTCCTGAATCTCAAAACGCGGAAACGCAATAACACATTCCAAGAATTTCGACACGCCACTTGCCTGAACAACCATTTTACTTTGCGGACCTGCGCAAAAGTGTCACTGTGCTAGCAGGAACAGCCCTGCACCCCACAGCCATGCCTAGTCCATACCTAAAGCTTGGAAGAGATCTCTTGCTTGATGCTCATCTGCGTCTTGGCCATCCTGCGTGGGCCTCCGCAGCCCGACTTCTGCTTCAAGGAGCTCAGGACCTTCATCATCGCTCAGCTGGAAAGGGGCATCAGCGGCACTAGAAGAGGAAGAGCTGGTCTCGTCATCCATTTCAGCTGAGCCCACAGTTGCTGGTGGCGCGGGATCTTCTGGGTTGGATAACACCGGGCCAGCTCGCCGATCGTCTCCAATCTGAGGGATAACAAAGTCCACACAACACACAAGGTGCTCTGGGTCGAGCCTGCTTCTCTGTCACAATCAGAAGCATCCAGGTGCATTGCACGTTGAGCAGCAATGACTTCGTGGATGCCAGCAAAGCATTGTGGATGGGGACACTTTGCCTGCTCAACGTGGCCCACCGGCGCTCACACATTGACTGGCTGCCTCCAAGAGCAGCAAGATGCATGCCCAATTCGCGGAGGTGGAAAGATGGCTGAACCACTTTCCAAAATCGAACCACCTCTTCTTTCTTGGCAGTCTTCGCCGGGTACTGAGTCACTGTGAGTGAGAGAGACTGCTGCCGCGATTCCCGCAGAGAAAAGCCTAAAGCCTCATCCGCTTCTGGGTCATCCACATAATGCCACAACCTGGGATCCATGATGTGCGCTGCATGGTGGGCCGAAGTCTCGTAGCAAGCCCCCCTCCTGTTCAAAATCTCAGCCACCTTTCGGTCAGCCAGGTCCCTCTGCGTCTCCTTCCTGGGGTGGTCCACAAAATCAAAAGAGGCAAGGGCCTTCTGGATTGCGGACCGGCACCTCAACCAGGTTGCGTGGCAGCCGAAAAAGTCCCGGCCAGAGCACTGGCGTCCGAGCACAGCAGCGGGACCAGAAATACAAAGAGATCTCCTTGCCCTATGGAAAACAGGGTCAGCCGTGCAAGTTTTCACACAGGTGTCCACGCGCTGCTTCTTGGTAGAATCACTTGTCTTGACACAAGCCTGAAAAGCAGCTGTAGCAACGATCTTCCTCATCAGGGCGCAATTCAAAAGGAAGGAGTCCACCACTTGAACCCTGCTGTTGAAGCGGGTTCTACGGACCACACGAAGCTTGCGAAGGCGCTCCAACTGGCCTGCGGCAAGGGCCCGCTTCTGCCAAGCAGCCATCTTCCTTTTCGTCACAAGCCGCTGAGCCTTGTGGACCTTGTTGTGAACCTCCTGAAAACGTGGCCAATACGCAGACAAAACGCTGTCAAAATGTCAAGAGATGGCAAGATGACGTTGCGTGGGACGCTGTCCACCGAACCCTCCAGCTGTGTGTACTCAACCACGTAGAAAGGTGTATACGGTCAAACCGTTATAGCCAAACCAGTGCAAACTATTGTAAGGGGGTAAAGACCAATAACCACGGTTGTAATGCCTGCAGCAGCAGCGCGAGTGATGCCGTTTTCACTCTCTCAGATCGATCACAGGCGAACGTAATTCATGCAAGACCTTGGGCCCTACTTGTGACTTGAGCCAAAGTGGCGTCCAATGGAACATCATAACCAACAAGAACATGGACCTCAGAACAGCTTCCCAATTTAGGCACGGGGCCAGGAAGGTTTTAACATCCCCCATTTGGGTCGCATCGTTCATCATGCGGTCCAAACATCACAACACGTTCCAATGGCCACGGCTCCGACTACGAAACTGTGTCGAACACTCTTTCATTCACTATTGCAACGCTGTCCATTCATTGTGAAACTTGCCGGGTTCAATCAAATCAGAAACTTGCATCCGCAAATCGTAGCACATTCCTACACACAGAGGCAAGAGGCATTCTGCCTCGCCCCATCACGCAACCATTGGAAATCCCGGCTGCCGCATTTGCGCATCGCGCAGCCGTCTGGTCATTCCTACTGGGGTCCTGTGTGAAGGTTGCAAAAGTGCTCCGCCCTACTTGTCTTACACCACAGCAAGCCTCACGCCAACCGCACGCTGCAAAGCACAAATCTTGCACCAATGCCAGTACTGAGGGGCGCTTGTAATAGGTGACAGCAGCCGTCATCCACAGAAATGGGTTGGCCACAGAAATCCATAGCAGCGCATGGCCATTAGCCATCTGAATACCATCGGCAAAGAAGATTTGGCGAGCAACATATGCAAAAATAGCCATTCCAGATACCACGAATAATTTAAGGAAAAGAATCATCCATGAGGTAATGGTGTCCATCCATGAATATCCGGAATGTCATAGTCGTCGGGATATGTAAATACATACACATTCATTTTCCTTGGACATATGAAGTCGCATCATTTTGAAAACATTCCGTCGTAATGAAATCAATGAGTTGCTGGCGATGGATGGGGTCTGGCCCGCACCATGTCGCAAACTGCATTGAGGTGGAATTAATATGTTGCTGGCGATGGATGGGGTCTGGCCCGCACCATGCCGCAAAAGCAACGATAATCCACATTTGTATCACGTAGGTCGGTCCACAATGGCCATCCTGTTGATGCGTCGACGGAATTCTTCGTCCAAGTTGTGTTGGGCTTCTCGTGCTCGGACGCACTTCATGTGATGCTCGTCTGCAAGCCAGTGTCCCTTTCGGATACAGCAATCCAGCAGGGGTGCGTCGCACTTGCCCGGGTCAGTGGCCGCAACGATGGCGCTCACGTTGACCACATATCCATGCTTACCAAGGTTCAGCCCAGCTCTTGCGAACGATATGTATTTGCAGTTGAACGC